TCTCTATATATATATATATATACATATATGAATTGAATTGAGTTTTTGGTAAATTGGCCTCCTATATGTTTTTGTTGTGGGTATGTGATTGAGTTTGTTTTGATTTGTATTTGCAAAAATCATGAGAGAAATTAGAGAAAGAAAAGAAGGCAAAGAAGCTGCAGGCCAAGAAGAATAAGATGAAAGTAACTCCCTTTCCTCTTCCTCCAAGCCCACTCTCTTTACATATGTATATACCAATAGTTTGTTTAATTGCTCATGTGTTTTCATTTTATTCTCTAATTTTACTCTCTTATTTTTATTTTAAATTTTCTTTTTAAGGGTTTTATTAATTACTTGATGAACCTTGGGAGAATTTTAGGTGGGTTTGGAAAATGGACTTGGATTCTCTACATAATCACCCTTGCAATAATCTTGCAATGCTAGTTAGGTAATTATTTTAAGCTCAAAACATGATTGGTGATAGTGCAATGCTTTAAGCCCAAAACACCAAGATTATTGCTTGAAAAGTATTCTATGGTTTTTTTTTTTTGGAAGGAATACTAGTTAAAAAAATGTGATGCTTTTAACAAATGCTAAAGAAATTACTTTTTTTTTTTGTTAGTGAGAAAGGATAATCTTTACCTTTAACAATCTCTTTCCTAGTTATTAACAATTTCTAAATAAGCCATTGCCAAGCAGACAAAAATGGTTTGAAGAAATTAGAAAGTGGTTTGACTATGCTTTGTGGAGACAAATGGGGTGTCTTTGTTTGAACTTGATAGGCTTATAGATTTGAAAAACCTAGTTACACCTGTACTTTCAAAGCAATAGAATTGAGATTATAAACTTTATGGTATGATGTAGCTGTCAAAAGGATGTTATCATCTTCATGTAGTATTTGATACTGCTTAAGGGTGGTGGCTAGTGTTGGGTGGTAAAAAAAAAAAAAAAACTGAAAACTCAAAATGGAAACACATTTTTTGTGTTTTCATTTTTTGGCCAAATTTATAAACTGAGACCACTGATTTATAAATCGAAAATTTTACCAAACAAGTTTTTATTTGAGTTTTTAAAATTTTTATAAATACAAACAGAAAACTGAAAACGTAAGTGTTATCAAACGGCACCTAAATATTCAATCACTTGTACGTTTGGTGAATGATTGTAGATACTGTTTTTCTTATTAAGAGATTTGTAACAGTTTTATGTTGATGCTGGCTTGCTTGATCATGTTGTAGGCATTTGTGCAGCTAACAAAAATAGCCAAGTTTAGTGAAACATTTTATCATCACTAGCCTTGAGGGAGAAGGCAGTCTAGTTGTAATCCAGTTCTTATCCTTGAGAGTCATTGATCCATGACCAAATAGTTCTACATGTAAATTTCTATGTAATTTAGGGGTGTATGAGCCCAGTCAAACTGAGTAATGAGTTGTATAAACTTGGTTTGAAATTTAATGAGCTTCAAGAATATGTTCTAGCTTGGTTTGTTTGTCTTTCAAGTTGATCTCAAACAAGCTTCAATCAAGTACCCTAGTGTTTTATACCCTATAATTTTGTAGTGTGTGAAATTATTGAGCCAAGTTCGAACCAAGCTCTAGAAATTAACAAGATTCAGAATGTGTTTAAACTTGACTTGTTAATCTCGAACAAGTTTTTAACAAGTTAAATACGAGTTGCTCTCAAATAAAGTAGTTCGATTTACAACTATATGCAAAATTGTAAGTTATTATTCTATCTTCATTATTATTCAATCTTCTATTCAAAGTAAGGATAGGGTTTGTAGAGGTGAAGAGAACTATTTGTTTTTTTCATAAATTACAGTTTGTTTATGAACATATTATACATCTATGGGATACCCTCTATTTGAAAGACTAACTATTTTTTCTAGTACATTGGAGGTCGTAGCATGGAGTGGAGGAGGGGATGGAAAAATCCATTGACTCGATTATATCCGATCCAACCCGATTTTAATAGAAAAAGTTTGAGAGGACTCTAGTAATGTAGTATAGCGATCCCGGGTTTTCCCCTTTTTGTACAGTATTCCGGACTTAGGTTCCGTGGTGTTGGTTGTTGTTTATAACTTGTTTCCGTCCTTCAATTCTTCGTATTTGAGTTTTAGGATGTGTTGGGCAGGGTTGTAACAGGTGGGTGAGTTTTGAAACCAATGGTTGCTGCCCAGATTTTGGTATCTTCGCTCGAACGAGGCTTTTGTCGCTCGAGCGAGCTCTTTGTTTTGGTTCCTTCGCTCGAGCGAGAGTTGTTTGGTGTGTCTGGTGGCTCGAGCGAGAAGTCTTGCGCTCAAGCTTGCGTCTGCGTCTGGTTTGGACCTGAAGGTTGCAGTTCTTGGCTCGAGCGAGCGAGGACTATGTTTTGGATTTCTTCGCTCGAGCGAGCATTCCTTCGCTCGAGCGTGCTTCTGCATTGCAAACCTGAAGCTTCATGTTGTTGGCTTAAGCGAGGCTTTCTACGCTCGAGCGAGGTTTCATTGTGTCTGGTCGCTCGAGCGACCACTCCTTCACTCGAGCAAGCCTCGTGTATATCAGTTGTCAGCAGCTTCTCCTTCTTCACTTTTTCACTATCTCTTTTACACAAACCCTAGATCCGGCTGCTTCTCTCTTTACACACTCTCTCTGTCTCTCTAAGATTTCATCTACTTCTAGAGTGTTTCTACCCTAATCTCTTTGTAAGAAAGATAGAGAATGGTGTGGGCTTCACTTTAATCTGAAAAGTTGTGGATTTGGAGCACTTTGAGTTTCACCTCTCTTCTCCTTTGAGCTTTGAAAATTAAGGTAGGGATACCCTACTCCTTCTTATGGGTTGTGACATAAATTTTAGTCATTTTGATTAGATGGTGGATTATGGTAATTTTGGAAAAGTTAGGCTTTGTTTTTTTTTTTTTGTAATTTATAAAAATGGGGTTTTCAAAATATTAAATCCCATGTGTATGTGAGACTTTGAAAAATGGTATTATTGATGTTAAATGGATGAAATTGAACCTTAGGGTTGTTATCGAAAAATGGGGGAAAATACCCTAATTATTGTGATAAATTAATTTGTATAATTAATTTGGGAAATATGAAATTGAGTTGGAAATTATGAAATTGGGAAATATGAAATTGAGTTGGAAATATGAAATTGATTGGTGTAGTTAGATAAATTTATCACTCACCTATAAGAATGTTGAGATTATATCTATTTGATGCATTTATTATCTGTTTAGAAATAACTGCTTTGGGCTATTGGTGGATGATAGTCTTGATTGTTGTAGACACTGTATGTTAATTAGGGAAAACTGAAACTAATCACTTGGAATATGTCATTGAATGTGATGGTTGGAATAATACATCGAATATGTGTATTGGTTGATCATTGTATATGATAAGTATTTAAATACATTGTATTTGTATATTGTTTGGGAGGAGATAGGGGATGTACTCCATGGTTTGAGAGGAGATAGGGGATGAACTCTCAAACCTGTTTGGGAGGAGATAGGGGATGGACTCTCAAACCTGTTTGGGAGGAGATAGGGGATGGACTCCATTGATAACTAAGTTGGCCGGAGTGTCCGGAGTGAAAGTCCCGAAATTCTAATCACGTTTGCATAACGTAGATAATTGAAGTATTGGAAGTATTTTTGACATGAGTTGTAGTCTAATTTGAATTGTGAATAAAGGAAGTGTTTTAATATGGGATGTAGTCTCATTTAATTGTTTGGCCAGGTTCTGAGCCATGTTTATGAATTGAATTGGAGTACAAATGGTATGCCACCTCTAAGGATGTAGCTTGGGAGGCTTAGAGGCCGAAAGATCTTTTTGTATTACATGTAAATCAAGCCAAGGGCTTATTTTGTATAAAGAGTTAGAACTCTTTTTTTTGTTGAGCCCAAGTGTTGACTTGGAAAGTTGTAAGCCTATAGGGCATTTACTTTTGTTGTCAACATGTAATCTTTTTGTAATGAGCACTCAGATTAATGGAATTATGCTTTATTCTCTTATGTCTATGCATGTCAACAATGTTGGGTTTATATGTATGATTTATGGGTTTATTTTGAGGGCATTACATGTAGGGTTTAGTATACTGGTAGATAGGTCAAAACTGTCAAAGTTAAAGTCAAGTATGAAATTTTATCAGTAAACCCGTTGAGTTTAAAATCAAGAAAACACGTACGAAATCAGGGAAAAAAAAAAAACCCCCTCGACCTTTTGCCATCCTAACCTTTTAGCAAGGTGCAAGATTTGACTAAGATTTGAAAAATTCTTACAGTCCAATTGGATTTTTGTGAATCATGAATTTACTAGCTTTATATTGTACTGATTTGGGTGAAAACTCTCATTGTAATTCTGAAAAGAAGGTGAATCAATATAGAAAGCTTATGATAAGTATGTCTCTGCTTCAAAAGTTATTTAATTTTTGACAATATATATTGCGTTTTGGATAAAGGATTTGACGAGAAATTTGCTGAAATAAAGGAAATAGAAAGGAAGAAATTAATGTAATAGATGCTAAATTTTTGTCACATTTTTCTTTTTCATCTGCAAATTTTTATTTAAATTCTAGATCTAAACACAGTTTAAGTTGGTTTTTGAGTTTTAGTAGCAGACTCGGATTAGAGATGAGAAATGAGAATATTGGATAAAGGATTTGACGAGAAATTTGCTAAAATAAAGGAAATAGGAAATAGGAAATAGGAAGGAAGAAATTAATGTAATAGATGCTAAATTTTTGTCACATTTTTCTTTTTCATCTGCAAATTTTTATTTAAATTCTAGATCTAAACACAGTTTAAGTTGGTTTTTGAGTTTTAGTAGCAAACTCGGATTAGAGATGAGAAATGAGAATATATGTGCAGTTAAGGGAATCCTTTGTAGTTTTTATTTATTTAATGAAAAATGCTTGAGACCCCCATTTTTTGAAGATCCCTACAACCCTCTTTGGATCTTTACCATTGATGTATGTATAGGACTCACTCATGTATGTGTGGAGTCCACACAATCAATGGTGGAGATCCAAAGGGAGTTATGGGGTATCTAAAAAATAAGGGTCTCAATCATTGTTGCGTAAGGGATGGAGTGAAGGGCGCCATTAAGGTCACGGTCGAAAATTGACTTTTTTTAATGATTTTTTTAATTTTCTTATGAGATAAAAAATTAATGTGTTTAAGAATAATTTCTTTTAAATTTATTGAAAATCATAAATTGGTGTGATGTTTGACTTTTTTGTTCTAGTGATTTTTTGACCTTTTTTTGGCATAAATGACATCAAAATGGGAATTAGTTTTAGAAAAATTATTAATGATCTTGTTTTAATTTTTTTTTGTATATATTTTAAAAAATATATATATACATATATATATTACTATACACCAACATTACTAGTCAATGATTTAAACATTTTTTAAGCATAAATAGGTGATTATTTTAAAATAAAAAAAAAAACTATTTAGGGAAACAAAAAAAGATAGGGTCTCAAGAATTTTTGGATAAAAAATGTATCTAGAAATGGGTTGTGGTCGGAGAAATTAAATTAATGAAGTGTTTACATATAAAATGAATTTGAGTTATTAATGTAAAATTTTAAATAATTTTTAAATTTTTATAGTTGGGTCCGCAACATTATTATTGGGAAAAACCCTTTCTAATTATGGTTAACGAATAATGAACATTCTGCACCAGCTTGGAGGCGGAGCTCTGGGCAGTGTATAAAGGGCTCAAGATCATTCTGCAGCGAGGAATGAACAAGGTCATCATCGAAACGGATGCAGAACAAGTGGTGCAGCTGCTAAATGAAGAACCAGGTGCTAAATGCCCTTTTCGTGGCATTGTGGAGGACTCAAGGATCATCTTAAGGGGCTGCAAGTGTATAGTCCAACATGTCTGCAGAGGAGGCAACATTTGTGCAGATAATTTAGCTAAACTGGGAGCTAATCAACCTCTTGAGCTGCTCATTGTGAATGAACCTTCAGACGAAATTCGCCATGCGTTAGTTGCGGATTTGTTGTATCTGGATGGGAGTAATGAGGCCTAGTCCTCTTGTTGTTCTTTTAATTTTCGATGTACCCAAAAAAAATAAAATAAAAAAAATAAACTAAATAATGAACATGGAGTAGACCTTTTGTAACATATCGTTTGTGATGGCTTGTCTCCAATTATTGACTAACATTTACTTTTGGGTTGCAGTGCAAAAAAAAAAAAGAAAAGAAATACTACTGTTCTTATTATATTATTGGTTTTTTTTTTGGGCGGTTGTAAATTACATTTTAAAATTTGATGAAAATAAAATTTTGATATAATTAGATCAATATTTTTGTAGTAAGATTTTATGAATTTGAACTAACTCTCTGTTTAGTTCAGCATAAAATGTTTTTATAAAAATATTTTCCGTATTTTATGGTGTTTAGTACGATTAAAAATAAAAGTTAATATAAAATATTTTTCAGGATCTATGAAAAACAAGTCTATTTAGGTAAAAAATAATTTACTTTTAAAAGGTAAAAAAATATTTTTTAAATTAAATTTTTATCCATGCCATCACAACCATTACTGTTTTTTTTTTTTTTTTTTTTGTTACAGTACAGTAAAATCCTCCCACTCTCCCGCAGGTCCAGGGCAGCACCCCTTGCAGAGATCACCAATGTATCCTGTTGTCTGTTCTGAGATAGGAGACTATAACCTGGGAATTTGTCCCGACGTATCCTGTTGTCTGTTCTGAGATAGGAGACTATAACCTGGGAACTTGTCCCGACCTCCCAAGACAAGCTCCGCTTAAGTCAGGACTCGAGCAGCGGAGGAGCATTGGGCCCACACCAAATGCTGTGGTAGTAACAACTTGAGACTAATCTCCTAACCAACTGCCCTACGCCCCAGGAGATTGGCCCAAGGGGTTTTGAACTTGGAACCTAGGGTCTTAACCCCCAAACCTTTACCAAGTTGCCAAACACCCTTGGGTTACCATTACTGTTGCTGCCACCACCTCAACACCTTCAATTCCACCTATTTTAGATTGTATATTTGTAATGATGAGAAAATATTTAAATTTTTTTACTCTGTTCATTAATTTGTACTTAAGACTTATATTATTTAATTTAAAATTTCAACTTTTGATCCAATTTCAGACGCAAAGGGGCCAAAACCAAAAGCATCTCCACAATTACATGGACTGTGACATTAATGTATTTTAAAAAATAAAATAAAATAAAAGAGAGTGTACTCCTTCCAAGCTTGACCATGATTAATTGAAAATAAAGAAAGAAAAAAAAATGGAAGGGATATAAATAAATAAAGAAGTGACTCAAATACTCAAGTTGTTCACTAATATCCAATGGTGTCATTTTAGCTTCTTTTTTGTTGTTAACATGTAATACTTTTTGTAATGAAATTCTGATAAATGAAAGAATGTGGAACTTTTGAATATCAATGCATGTCTTATTTGTTAGGTTTAATGTTCTTATTTTGAGGGCGTTACACAACCTCTTGAGCTGCTCATTGTGAATGAACCTTCAGACGAAATTCGCCATGCGTTAGTTGCGGATTTGTTGTATCTGGATGGGAGTAATGAGACCTAGTCCTCTTGTTGTTCTTTTAATTTCCGATGTACCCAAAAAAAATAAAATAAAATAAATAAACTAAATAATGAACATGGAGTAGACCTTTTGTAGCATATCGTTTGTGATGGCTTGTCTCCAATTATTGACTAACATTTACTTTTGGGTTGCAGTGCAAAAAAAAAAAAAAAAGAAATACTACTGTTCTTATTATATTGTTGGTTTTTTTTTGGGCGGTTGTAAATTACATTTTAAAATTTGATGAAAATAAAATTTTGATATAATTAGATCAATATTTTTGTAGTAAGATTTTATGAATTTGAACTAACTCTCTGTTTAGTTCGGCAGAAAATGTTTTTATAAAAATATTTTCCGTATTTTATGGTGTTTAGTACGATTAAAAATAAAAGTTAATATAAAATATTTTTCAGGATCTATGAAAAACAAGTCTATTTAGGTAAAAAATAATTTACTTTTAAAAGGTAAAAAAATATTTTTTAAATTAAATTTTTATCCATGCCATCACAACCATTACTGTTTTTTTTTTTTTTTTTTTTGTTACAGTAAAATCCTCCCATTCTCCCGCAGGTCCAGGGCAGCACCCCTTGCAGAGATCACCAATGTATTTTTTTTTTTTTTTTGTTACAGGAAAATCCTCCCACTCTCCCGCAGGTCCAGGGCGGCACCCCTTGCAGAGATCACCAATGTGTCCTGTTGTCTGTTCTGAGATAGGAGACTATAACCTGGGAACTTGTCCCGACCTCCTAAGACAAGCTCCGCTTAAGTCAGGACTCGAGCAGCGGGGGAGCATTGGGCCCACACCAAATGCTGTTCTAGTAACAACTTGAGACTAACCTCCTAACCAACTGCCCTACGCCCCAGGAGATTGGCCCAAGGGGTTTTGAACTTGGAACCTAGGGTCTTAACCCCCAAGCCTTTACCAAGTTGCCAAACACCCTTGGGTTACCATTACTGTTGCTGCCACCACCTCAACACCTTCAATTCCACCTATTTTTAGATTGTATATTTGTAATGATGAGAAAATATTTAAATTTTTTTACTCTGTTCATTAATTTGTACTTAAGACTTATATTATTTAATTTAAAATTTCAACTTTTGATCCAATTTCAGACGCAAAGGGGCCAAAACCAAAAGCATCTCCACAATTACATGGACTGTGACATTAATGTATTTTAAAAAATAAAATAAAATAAAAGAGAGTGTACTCCTTCCAAGCTTGACCATGATTAATTGAAAATAAAGAAAGAAAAAAAATGGAAGGGATATAAATAAATAAAGAAGTGACTCAAATACTCAAGTTGTTCACTAATATCCAATGGTGTCATTTTAGCTTCTTTTTGTATAGGGATATAATACTTCTTCTGTTTCAGTTTTTTTTTTGTCCCATTTTTCTCGGCTTCAAACAGAATAAAAAACTCAAAGGTCCTATTTGGTTGTCCTTATAATTTTTTATTTTTATTGTTTTTAGAAATTTGTAATATTTCTTTTTAACATTCTAAGTTCAAAGTTTAAGTAATATTTTCTTTAGGAGTTGGTTAAAATTTTTTATGGGCTTCAGAGTTGTCTTTTTGTATGACTTTTTTTTTTTTTGATTTTTCTTTGTTTTCAGTGAGGTTTTTAAAACACTTCACAAGTGTGAATTCTATTGGATTAGACGGATTAAAAAAGTCAAGTTTTTTTAAGAACACCACCAAAAGGCCAAAAACAATTGACTTTTTACCTTCATTGTTTGGCGGGAGAATAACCAATCGACGTATTGGTTGAAAAAAATTTCAAATTCATGATAAATTTTATAAATTCTAATTATTAAAATTATAAATTGTCATGAGTGTGTAATTATTTTTGAAAACCACACATAATGTGTAATTTTGTTTTCTTTTTTTGTTTAGATTCGTCTACACAAGAAAGATTTGAAAAATAAAAAACTTAAGCATAATTTTTAAAAAAAATACTAAAAAATTAAAAAAAATTAGTTGGATGTCAAAAAGCTCAATTTTATTTAATTAATTTATTTGGCATATTCTTTAAATAAATTTTTTATTTTTATTTTTTTATGAAAAACTAGTCTGTTGTTAAGAATTTTTTAGTAAAATGATTTATTTTTTTTAACAATAAACTATCTTTCAAACTACAACTAAATGAAGCCTAAAATTACATCATGTTAAGGTATTAAACTATCTTTCAAACTACAACTAAACGAAACCTAAAATTACATCATGTTAAGGTATATGACTTTAAGAAATAAATCATTTTGTTTAGTTTTGAATTTTTAAAAATAATTTTTAATTTTTTAATTTTTTGTATTTTGTTATTTTGAGTTTTTTTTTTGGCAGTTTAGTCAATTTTTTTAATGTTAAAGATGAACTTAATTTGAATGTATTTAAAAAGTAAAATATTTATGAAAAAATATAAAATAATTCAATAAATACAAAATAATATAAAAATGTATTTTTTTAATGTATTTAGTGAATGTTTAAAATATTTTTTTACAAATTATATATTTTTTAAGTGTATCTAGATTAAGTAGATTTAAAAAAAATTATTAAAATATTTAAAAATTACAAAAAATTAAAAAATACTTAAAAATTATTTTTGGAAGCCCCAATAATATCTTAATATTATTTTGTTTCATTTTAAAACTTGAGTAGTTCAATTATGTATTTTGACTTTTATTATTGTGCAAAGAATACAACAAAATCATTTCGAAAAACAATGGGGAAATTTCAATTCAGGATAAATTCTAAAAAAATTACAATAAGTGATAAATTTTATAAGTATTCATTATACAAAATACACTAATTTTTATCATGAAATTATAATTTTTTTAGAAGTACCACCGTTAATTTCTCCAAAAACAATTGATGATACTTATCTGTACCAAACAAGCCCTATGAAAACCACCGGGGGTGGTGGCCTGATGGTGAATGCTTCCCATTCCCCAAGCTTGACCCAGGTTCGAATCTTGGGGGAGGCGAACAAAGGTTGCTTTGCAACTGGTTCTCTACAGAGATCTCGCCTTGTACTCCGATCGAAATCTGGGCTTGTCTGTGGCATGTAAGGTTGTGCTCTATGAAGCATGGGTACTTTGGAAAACTTGCCGTACCGGGTACTTACCGGCGTACCATACCTCGTATGGTACTTCTACATACCGGGTACACGAAACACGTATCCAAATTTTTTCTTCTTAATTTTTGACGTACCCAGACGTATCTAGTGTATATTCAAGCCGTACCGTACCTCAATTGAAATAATATTTTCCTTCTACTACAGAGATAAAACTCATTTCACTAGACTTCTTTTTTATTTTTTGTTTTATGCTTAGCATGATTTTAAAATTAAACTATAGTTTGTAAGTTATTTAACATATTAACATTTGATTTTGATTTTGATTTATACTTTTATTTTTGGCATTAAATGTTAATTATAGATTGGACCTTAACAAATTAAACTATTTAATTAATTT